TCCCCACCTTCTAGCTCCGCTAGGACCTCCAGCTCGTCGGCGAACTGCGCCTCGAACTCGTCTTCGATGCCGTACAACTCCCGCCCGTCGTCCTCCATCGCTCGCTCCTCCCGCTCCGCTCGGTGGCGGAAAAGAGTGGCGCCAGGCGGGACAGCCTTCTTCCGGCCGGAGGGCCAGACGGGCACCCGCACTTCCGGGAGAGCCTCCTGCCCATCCTCTCCCCCCCTGGCGGCTCGGAGAAGTGCTGATTGGTCCGCGCGGCCGGGAGGTGGTGCTCGCGGGGCGGCCTTCGCCGAGAGTCGGGACCGGGCAGGTGGGTGGGCTGCTCCCTCGCCGGCCGGTGCCTCTCTAGGCCGCTTTGCTTCCGCTGCTAGTCCTGAGCCGCAGCCGCGCCCCGAGGGGCGAGACGTCGGTGGGTCGGGAGGGGGCCCCGCGGCCCTGGCTCCTGACTCCCTCCCGAAATTCCCGAGCACCAGGGGACGCGGGATCGGCCGCGGAGGCTGGGCTGAGGCCGGCGACCCCTCAGCCCAAATGGGGTGGGGCTCGGCGGGGAAAGCCCCGAGAAGTTCCAGGACGTAGCCCAGGCTGGGAAGGGGCGGGAGTGGCGAAGGAGGCTCCGGGAGTCTCCCGGGGTAGCTGCCGCCAGAAGCGGCCCCGAATGAAGGGGCGAGAGATCGCTTCCCTGGCCCCAAATCTGCGAATGGCGGGAGAGCAGAGTTCTTTCACTCCTACTTTTTTTCCGTTAGACGAGCTCTCTGCTAGGCTCAGCCGGGGACGCAACCGTGTTTATTTATATTTTGTTTATCAAATTTAGGTAGTGCCCATCCTCCCTTTTTTTGACCCGGGGGTCGCCCAGAAAATGGCGGGGTGTGTTTTGCGAGTGTGGCTAAGGGTGACCAGGTGCTGTGCTGCTAGTTTCCATAGTTCGGCTTGGCGGCTGTTCCAGGAGTGCAAAAGAGCGGCCGGCCCCGGGGCCTCAAGCTGCCCCTTCTGCCCTAAGCCTCAACTTCAGGAAGCCTTGGGGTTCGCACAACTCGCTGAATTTTGTGAATGGGAACAGGATATACACTTTGTAAGAAATAAACCCAAACCAAACAAGTGGTATTTAGGACCATGAGGAAGAGTCTCCGGGTGATAAGATCTATCAACTATGGAATAAATAGGCTGCCACACGAAGTGATCTTGGGGTATCTTCAAATAGTGGTCGAATAGCCATTGCAGGCATCTGTAATGCTGCAGCAAATCCTACACCAAGAAGGAGATTGGGCTAGATGACTTTCCAGCTCAGCTCTTCTTGTGCTCAGAATGACTTGTTTTCAGATAAAAACATACAGACTTTCACTGGTACTGGATCATTTACACGCCTACGTTTTAATGCAAGATTTGCATTGGCACAAAGGGAGTATCAGGCTCCTAAATTTTATAGCAAAACTGCTAATATTTCAAATTTATCTTGTCCCATAATTCGTATATACTTTTTAAGGTAAATTCTTGCTTAGTTTTTTGCCAGTCTAGTCACTGGTCCTTTGTTTAAAGCCACAATGTATTTGGGTGGAGATGTGTTAGCTTGCCGTACATTTTCAAAAACTTGAAAATCACTATTACATTCCAAGTAGAATATAAAATCAGGAAAAGTAGTCAGCGCAGTATAAAATTTACCTGCAAATCGTAAAAATAACGATTCTAAGTAAAATTGAAATATAAAGACTTTTATATCAGTAGAAATTTAAGTGGTTGTATCTGTCCAGAGTTGAAGTGTTTGGTGAAGGCTTTCACTTTCTGTGTTTTAATCTTGACCTGAGTATCATATCTATATCAGTGAGTGAAGTGAAATCGTGTCAATCGTGAAGGTCTAGTGCATCATGTCAAAATTTGGGGGCCCTGATAGATTCATCCTGATGGTGCGTCAGTTCCAATTGGTATGACAGTTCATGTTCTAGATCATGGAGAAACTTCATAGGCCTTTCCTGTTACAAGTGGCATCAAACAAGGGTATGTGTTGGCAACCACCTTGTTCAGCATAATATTTTCAGCCTGCTGTCAGATGCCTTCCAGAACAGTTCCTTGTGAGTTAGCTTAAGATATAGGACCGATGGGAAACTGTTCAACCTGCGAAGACTCCAGGCTGTCAACAAGATAAAGGAGATTGTGCTACGTGACTTCCTCTTTGCTGACGTCTGTGCCCTGAATGGTGGATCAGAGCAGGAAATGCAAGCCAGTGTGGACAAATTTGCAGCAGCATGCGACAACTTTGGCTCCAGAAACCCTGGCAGAAGATCGATAAACATGGCGCACACTGATCTACCAAGGCTGCCAGACATCTGAGGACAGAAGAACAACTATAGCGCAAGAGAAGCAAGCACTCCGCAAAGCCAGAGCTGCCAATGCTGCAACAATAGTGTCCACAAATGTCTGTTTGACATATGACAAAACATTTCATGCCCATATAGGCCTTACCAGCCACCTATGGACACATCATGGACAGCCTACAATCTGTTAGATGTCAAGATCCTCTTCAAAAACGATAGAAGAACATCACCATCATCATATCAGTGAGATATGGAATTCCTGTGAAGGAGTTTAGAGCTTTGGTTTCTATCTCTTTTGTGTAGAGATTGGCCACAATGGAGAAAACACATGAACCCATGGTGCAACTGTGTTTTTGTCTATAGAAACCTTCATTGTATTTAGAATACGTGGTCAGGCAGAGGTCCAGCATGGCATATTTGTAGTTTGGGCTGAGTGTAGGTCTGTTACCTAATGTGCTGTTTTGTAGCAGTTGTTTCTTCATTACAGTTTCTTCATTCTTCATTACATTCTTCATTGCATAGTCTCATCCAGATCCAGTTTTAGTTCCAAAACTTGCTGACAAAGTCTTGTAAATTGTTGATGTGATAGGTCCGGGATGGTGAACCTATGGCATGCGGAGCCATTTGTCAGGGCACATGAAGCGTTGCCCTGTTAGCTGGCCAGCGTGCATGTGCGCGCTGGCAAGCTGAGTTCAGCCTTTTTAAAACCCATTTTTCTCCCTCCCCAGGCTCCTATAAAGCCTCTGGAGCCTGGGGAGGGAGA